ATAACTAGTGACGAATCATGGGTTTAAGGTGGAAATCAAAGCTCAATCATCCCAATGCAAGCTGCCGCAAAAAGCACGTCAAGTTAGGTCGAATGTGAAGATTTTCCTTACAGTTTTATTCGATTGCAGGGGCGTGGTGCATCATAAGTTGTTGCCACAGGGTAGAACGGTCAATAAGAAATAACTTACAAGTTATGCGTAATCCGCCAGAAACGTCCGGATTTTTGAAGAACAAAAAATTGGCTTTTGCACCATGATAATGCCCCTGCTCAGACATCGTTGTTTGTGCTCGAATGTTTGACCGAAAACAACACACTAGTAATGCCGCAGTCACTGTATTTCCCAAATCTGCCCCCTGTGAATTTTTCTTGTTCCCGAAACTGAAGAGGCCCATGAAAGGACGACGCTACCCTACGATTAAAGAGATCAAGACGGCATGGAAGGTGGAGCTGAACATGATCACAAAAAATGAGTTTTGAAGTGCTTCGAGGATTGGAAAAACGTTGACACAAGTGCATAATATCTGGAGGAGATTAATGAAGGGGACAAAAAATATTCATGAATAAATAAATAATTTTTGAAAAAACACAAAATTCACGATACTTTTTGAACAGGCCTCGTATTTACTGTTTGCAATGCAAGCTAGTAACGTTCAAATCAATCAATTATAACTGTGGCAATTATCTACTTGTGTGTATAAATGTGTACTTAATAGATCATTTGGCTTTAGTAAAATGGCATGTATCTGCGTTCGTTAGTGTGAATAGGTGTGAACGTACGAGGACACTTAGCAATTTTTTACCAGCTATTACTAATTTCCGTGTTTAATTTCATTAGACTGAGTAAGGATTTTATCAAAGTATATTCTCGGTTAATGCGAATACATACACATTCTGGAAATTGAACTTTTAATGAAGTACATATATTCGGTTAAAGTCTGGAGTTAATGCTTCTCGACGCTCTTACATAGTCGTTTACGGCAGATTGAATGGAGTCCTTTACTATGCCAACCGCTCTATCCCTATCATTAACTTATCTAATGACATCGCGATGGTTGCATCTGTGATACTAATAATGTTCTTTCAGGTCTAAGTAACTTCGAGAAACCCCATACGAAAACTAAAGTAAGTGTACAACAATTTAAATGTCTGGCCCTCTTCCTAATAGATAATTGGATAGATACTTGAAATTAAATGTTATTTATCTACAAAAAAAGAAAATGTGTAGATGGACTAAATGTAAAGGACTTTTTTGTATCTTTGATTAATTCATCTAATAAAGAGGTGCCGATGGGCCCGAATCAGGAACTACAAATGCCTCATTAGGTCAGGATTTTGGAAACTTAAAATCCGCAATTTGAGAGCATCAGCACATGAAATAAAGTGACATAGGTACAACTGTAAGAGAGTAGTCACTTCGGAGTTGTCTTTTATCATTGCATTGGAATCCGATCTCAGAATTTCTCGAGAACACCAATATTTTGAAATATCATAACCTCAAAATCCAAATGACACTAAGTAGACTTATTTGTTTTTGAAATCGTAGTTTTGCAACATAACAACGAAATTCAAGAAAACCATTACCCCTTCGTGTTTTTTTTTAATCCGCCACAATGGTGCTCCGATACCCGCTTCTTTTTTGGGAGCATGTTGTATGTTTAGCAAAAAATATATGCTAAATAGTGGTGCTTTTAACTTAAGCACTGCTGGCTTTGTCTCGTATGTTTGATTGAAATATATCTTAAAAGTGATTGACTAAAACTGCTTTAAATTAGTTTATTATTTACACTTTAACAACTACAATTTAACTCTCTTAACTATTGAAACTACTGGCTATCTTTATACAAGTGCTTTATAAGACCTCTCAACAGGAACTGTCTAAAAACTTATTTTGTTACGCTTGTCACCCTTGTTTGATTTTAAACTATTCCAAGATATTGTTTTTTCTTAGAAGGTGACAATATCGACAACCTGCCGCCATGAGTTCTTACCGACCCCTCAATAAAGCAAAAAGCTGTTGTTTAACAGAGCACTACTACGCTAATTTGAAAAAATCAAAAGAAAAGAAGGTAATCGTTTTAAATATAGGTACATGCATCATGCACGTAGATATATATTATAAAACAAATGCAGATGTTCGAAAAATATTATTCAAGGTGTGTGCTTGAAGCACGTATGTATGGGCGCGAAAAGTAGCCGGTAAGTGCGACAGACTACCACTAAGACTTTATGCTGTTCTAATTAATTTGGTTTATGGGCCCATCACGTCGTCGATTTATATGGATAAGTAAATGCCGTGGTAAGACCCTTGTCTAGCAAACTTACATAATGTGTTAGTTAATAGCTGACATCAGTAAGTGGTTACATACTGCCATAATTAGATATGTTCCATCATTAGATATTTCATCAACTTATAAAGATGCCCTTCGGTTAAATCGACGATTAATAAAGTCTGCTTACGACGTGTTAATGAGATCTATCTCTTTAAATAGAGCACGTCATAATAAAAATTATCGAAACCGTGGTTCACGTCTGGTATAGTTTCTACAAATTATTATTTACCAAGATCTTATACTGTTATTAAAAATTATTACAGATGTTCTCGATTCCCCATATCTTAGAAATTACAAGAAAGCTAATTTATAATTGAGTCACTAAGATAAAAGAAAAGTTCAGAAAAAGTTCAAATGTCTAATAAGGGATAGTAAGTATAAACGGAGATATATAAAACAAATGCCGACATTCGAGAAATCCTATTCAAAAGGTTAGAAACTTCTGAAATGTGGTGTTACAGGCGATTTATGAAGTTACTGTAGACAGAGAAGGTTAAGAATGGAGAGGTACTAGGATGAGTAGGAGAACAAAAGGCGCGTAACGAAACTCAATAAAACATACGAGAAATAGTTTGTTAGAACACGTTTTCAGACATGAAGAACTAGTTAGAGACGTATTAGGAGCCGAAGCAGGAAAAAAGAGAGGCAGAAGTAGATTCAAATTAGATTATTATTTATAAATAATTAGGGGTGTGGGATATCCTAGTTTTAGGGAAATGCGAACATTAGTTTAGGATAGAAAAAAGGGGGACGCGTGAGCAACCAGTCTTAGAATTGGCAATCTTATTATGATGATTCGGATTTTACGGTTCAGATTCTAATTTAGCCAAAAAAGATTCATTATTAATAACTGCCGTACAACAGTAATGCTTACAAACAGGTCAAACATTAAAATTTTTCGACGTTAGGATATCTCTGAAACATCTTATCTTACAAGGAAATCTTCCTAGGTTACCACTGCCGATTTAGTAGCAGTTACAACATCAAAAATGGCGATACATATTTCCAAGGGATGAAAGTAATCCCCATAATTAACTAACTCCATAAGGACGACTGTCAAGTTTCACAGATTAAAGTTACACATTTAAGAAACTAAAAAAGCATAATTTTGAGAGACTGAAAATGAAAAAAAAATCTATTGATTATTGTTTTTCTTGTAGAATTTAATTCATTTAGTCGTTTTTGAAAATAGTAATTAGAAATATGTGAATCCTGACAGTTAACCTTATGGACTATTAATTGCGGGGGTTACATTCGCCCCTTATAAACTATTTCCACAAAAAAATACGTACCTATCATATTACATCATATCATATTAACATATTATACAACCAACCACTACTAAATCGGCGGCAGTCCCTCGGATGCAAGCCCCTCTTTTCCATCGGGCATTCTGGGCAAGTACCCAGGCGCCCCGCGATCAACAAGGGCCCTAGTTTCTGCCAGATCGATCCATCAACAGAAGACCTATATTTATTACCGATATTTGGGGAATTAACCATTAATTACGAAACAAAATTGGAAACACGTTTCCAAATGCAGAAAGTGCACTGAGAATGTTTTTAAGCTTGATGATAACTAACGGTATTGAGGAGCGTTCTTTCTCCAAATTGAAAACAATAAAAAATGAATTAAGAAGGACAACGCTTTAAGAAAGATCGACCAGTATTTCGCTGATGTGCTCAAAGGCAGACTTTGAATAACAGACTGACGATTTTACTTTTATCTAAATTTTTCAATAAACAGAATTTTAAGCCTTAACCTATGAATGCTAAAGGAGTTACTGTTCCGAATCACATTACAATTATCTATTCGTTTATTGTGATTGTAAAGAAATAAAGGTAATTATTTAATAAATTGAAAATGTCATTCCATCATTTTTAATGTCGTTAGTAGGCCTTAGGCACTATACCAGATAATGTTAATGCGATGCTGTTTTTGGTTGAAATTGAACAATTTTGGTACGAATTTCGCAGCGACCCGTCTCATGCTTAAATCATTAGTAAAAATCTAATGAAAAACGCCAATCAATATATTTAGGTCCTTCTTCTCTAACGGTGATTCGACGATAAGCCAATACACTGCATCAATGTTTTCGTCTGTTGTTGACGTGTTAGAACGTCCAGCACGCTTTCGTCGTTCAAATTTTCTTGACCCTCTGAAAACATTTTGTACCACCGATAAACGTTGTTTGGGTATAAGGTAGCCTCACCATATGCCACAGTCAACTTTCGGAATGCGTCCGCGTACTTAATTTTTTTTTACGCAAAATTTGATACAGATTCTTTGATCCATTTTTTTGAATGGGCAAGATTCGAAGATTAGAAACCACGTGTACACAAAACAGCTGTCAAAAATTAACTAAACATTCAACATGGTCGAACTTGTCGGTATAAGTGAGAGAAATGAGTACCAAAATAACGCCACAAAGAAATCGAAAATCGTATAAACGTAACCCGCGAAAATTCGAAATTCGCAATACTTTTTGAACAGACCTCATATCAATATCATTTCCCTCTTTTGGTTACAATGACATCATTTCATTCTCTTCTGGGATTAATACATATTATCAAAATTTTGAATTAAAATTATTATAATTATGCAAGTTGTATACGGAATTAAAAACTATCACATTGATAAAACTGATAAATATGGGTAAAAAACTTACTTAGAGATATATTGTTTTGTTTGTGGTGGTCCACTTGGCCCCTAAGCGCCCTCAGCTTTCGAAGTTTAAGTTCCTGCGCGTCAACCCGTTCTTTCAGTCTTCTTAAGCGTTCAGTTTCCGCTTGGACCCTTTGCTGCCTTGCATCCTGATCCTTCAAATACCGCAGTCGTTGCTCCTTCGCAGCCAAAAGCTGCTGCTGGGAGTCAATCTGCGCCTGCTGTCTACAAGCCATCTCGCGCAGCTCACTTAAACTCAGCTGCACCCCTTCCGGTAACTGCAATTAAAACAACAAAATAAGTAAGTATAAAATGCAACAACATTATTAAAAAGCAAAACGTTGACGAGAAGTTCACTGGTAAAGATTCCTTCCGGAAAGAACTGTTTGTAAGCAAAGTACTCCTTTTCAAGAAGATTTTGTTTAAGATACTTTGTTGCCTGACTATTACAACTCAATTTTGTTCCCGTTGAAATTTTGCACATCTGTTTAAGTCATGATTTAAATTCAATATGAGAACGCTTCAAGATGACGGATGGATTAACTGTTTTTAAACAATCTCCTTGATATTAGTAGAAATAAAAAGCCTTGGCCAGTAAAACAGAATAGGCTACATAGGTTACCCTAAAATAGTCGATTATTAATAAATAAATCAGCAAACAATTCAGTTACTATATATATCGAGTCGATTTCCTTAATCACAAAGGGACGTTGTCAAACTTTATTAACTTACAATTAGTAGAACATTTCTGCAGACGGCTTTCGCCCCGCTATTTGTAGTTATTCGTTGAACCATTTTCAAAAGCAGCAAGTTACTTAACTGTATACGGCGTGCTGATGAAATCAAATGTTCTTACTGTAGTATTGCATACATATAATTCCTTCATTCATAAAGGAATAAAAAAGATGCAAGTAATGTAGAAAAATGGGCATTTATACTGTTAAGTCCTAAGTTTTTCTCTTTTTTTTGTACTTAAAATATTTTTAATTTAAATTCACATTTGTAATTTTAAATAGTGTCTAAGTAAGTGACAACAGGACCAGTTTACATTTTACCTGGGTATTCACAGAACCCTTATAAACTGGAAAGAAATGTTGTATGGCGATTGTGCTCACATTTAATGATAGGGCTTTCCATATTCTGTGTTATATTCAGTTTCTAGTTATTCACCCCCGCTAAAATAATATTCACCAATTTACCTGTTGGTAGATATAGTTGCATAGTACATTAAGAATTAAACATTCACATTTCGTCTTTCAATCAAGTAAGTTTGCATCCAGTAACCATCGAAAATAGTTTCCATTGTCGGACGAATTTTGATAGTTTTAATTTAGACGTTGAAGTTTAGTTTTTATTGATTAGAATAGAAGTTCCAGTAAATGTTTTAAATAAAACAGTGAATTTTTATTCATCAACAAAATCACGATCCAATTTAACTAGTTGCACAATATTAATTTGACGTGCAACGTACAACATTTGTACATATACCTAAAATCCCAGCTATCAGCAACTGTTTGAATAATATACGTATGTGAATCCAAAATCCTGATAAAAACCATCTCCAACGTGTAAATTTTTTATCAAAGAACCCATTAAATCGGAAGAAGTAGAGATGATAGATTCAGTATTTTAATAGATAAAAATAATTTCCTAATTCGTAAATAAATAAATAGGAGCATTTCTAAAACTTCTGGTTCCACCAATTGTTCTACCAATAAAGGTTAAAATTTGTCCTCCAGCAACGGGAAATTGTATTATCTTCAGGTAAAGGCGGACCGCAACAAAAATTGTGGTATTTGAAGAACACGTGCATGTATGGCGATAATGCAATCTATTATAGAATAATGGGTGTTAATAATTGCTTAAACCGGTTGCTACAACACTTTAAAAAGGTGTCGTAAACGGATCGGCCGATGCAAACACTACTTGCCATCAAACGAGGAACAAATTAGTTCACATTCTTTAGTGACAGGTTGTGCGATCTCTTGTATTGGTCTTCTAGCGTTCGAATCGTTACAAAAACAAACCGATAATTTTACAGCTTCGTATCTCCGAGGATGAGTGAAGGGAAGACCTACCGGACAGGTATGTGGAGACCTCTATAAACATATCATTCACTCGGATGAAACAGGAAGAGGTAACAGGTTGCTTACTATCGAATCAACGGTTATACTTATTATCCAATAAAACAAAAAAAATTGACGTTAAAATACAGGGAAATATGTTAAACTATCTCGATGTTGAGAGAGACTAATTAAACATTTATACCTATGGATGATATTCGTGGAAATCATGCATCTAATTGGCCAATATATGTAACTTATTTGGTACGAGTATTATCCAGATAGCTAACTAGTTAGCAGTGCGATAGACCAATACATACATCAAAGTGTACAGGCAAATTATGCTTTTTAGCATTAGCTAGGTTCAGATGACATTTCGCAAAATCAAGCACAAAACATTGTGTATTTGTTTATTTTTTTTTTATCATCATCTTATTTCGTATTTCCCTAAAACTAGAACATCCCATATTTGCGAACAGTAATCTAATCTAGGTCTACCTCTACCCCTCTTAACTCCTGTTTCTGCCTCTTATATGTCTCTGACTAGACCATCATGTCTGAGAAGGTGCCCTACCAACCTATCTCGCCTATTTGTTATTGGCTACCATAGAGTCTTCTGTTCTCCTATTCTTTCTAATACCTCTTTACTTCTTACCTTCTCTATCCACGGTATCCTCATCATTCGCCTGTAATACCACATTTTGAACGATTCTAGCCTTTTCTTTTCTGCCGCGCTCACCGTCTATGTTTCGCACCCGTACAGCGCTGCGCTCCAAGCATACACCATTAACAATCTTTTTCGAATTTCTAAATTAATCGTTCGCGAGCATAGAAGTGACTTCTATTTATTGAAGACAACTCAGCTCTGCACTATTCTCTGCTTGATATCCTTACTACTCCTTCCGTCCTGACTTATCTGACTTCCTAGATACCTAAAATTAGCCACTTCTTCAAATTTTTCGTATCCTATCTTTATATTCGCTTTTTCCCTCGCATATCAGTATTTTTGTTATACTTTTATTTAGTTGCATACAATACTGTTTTGTCAATACCGCTTCCATTTTATTTTAGGTTATCTCTAACTCCTCCATGTTGGATGATACTGCTTATAAAAGAGTACGTCAATTAAAATAACTTTGAAATAATGAGACTCTTAACGATAGATTTGCCCTTCATGACCTGACAACGCGTATTGCGTTTGTACTTCAAATGACAATTTTATCTAGAACTAGAATTCCATGACCTATTCCATTTATGGATCCTTTTCCGTTACACTACGTATTATGTCGTCTGAGACCATTTCTATCCGATCAGCATTGCGATGGCGTCAACAAATTTGTTTCCGTTTTATTCCAGTTTCGCATGTAGTTGCATGTTTGAAACGTCCACATAAATACGAGTATGTGAATTTATGGCGTTTAAAGTCGTGTTCTCTCCCGGTTTCTTCTGCTGTTGTCGGAAATCTCGGAGAACGGAATTTTCCATCTGGAGAATACTAACGAATATGGGTGGAAAAGACATGACGAAACCTTTCTGGTTACCATTGTTTTCCAGTGTATGTGTGTGTACACTTAAGATTCGAAGTTATATTGAACACGAGCCGAGTGAATATAAGGCGGGTGGGAATTGCTGTTAGTTATTAATAAGGTGAAATGTTATATTCCTAATTTAAGACTTGGGTTTTAAGGGCACTTAGAAGAAAAGTGAATATTTTATAGTTTGCTGTAAAATATGTTGATTTTTTAAAATTTATTTCAATGCCACCCTCTGTCAAATAATTAAATACAAAAGACACCCTCTCCACAAAAGCTGCTTCTACAGCTTTTTTCTTAAATTTTATATAAACAAATTCTACTGAAAGATTCATCTTTACCGATGAATGTATTGAAATATCTATTAAAAATATGAAATATTAATTAATTACGGCATTTTATATTTAAATTAACGTGAACCACCGATTTAGCTGGACTGATCAAATTAAGGTATTGTCACATGTATGTAGGCAACCCAACATATATACTAGCAAAGATTTGTTCTAGACAGCATATACTGGATCCTTCTAGAACATGGCCAGCCTCTATAAATCGATCACGAGATCGAGTTGAGCAGTACGAAAACGAGTTCGAGGCGATACAAAGTGAAGAATAAGGAACCTAGGAATTGACAAAGTATTCGTATAGTGGTGAATTGATAACTAATTAATATTAGAAGTGTCAATTAGACAGCAATTAGTTAAATAAAAGTAGTAAAAGAAGGTGTTTAAATACGTGACAATATTTAGTATGCAAAGAACATTTTTACGAACCGTTGGACTAAATTTATTTCCTTTTAAGAATTTTAAAGCATAAATTAGTTTGTTTTATAAATTTGTATTTAGTTGTTGATCGGACTACTGTAAAATAAAATAAACATTTAAAAAATCTTAATCTATCTCTTAGTGGGTGGTCTTTTTGTTTATTCAAAGGCTAATTGGGTTAGTAAAATAAGTTCTTGGTCCGTAATTTCACGAAACTACAACACGTGGACTGCGATTTCAATCTTATAAAATGTCATCAGCAGGCCGTAATATACTAAATACTTCAGTCGGAAACAAATTTCGACAGATGGCGGTATAGTGCCATAACCTGATATTAGATTAGAAATTATTTTTGAAAACAGCTATCTACAACTTATAACTCCTCACTAATCTCACTATTCTAAAAGAGTAAATGCAATTTATTGAATTTCTCGATTAACTTAAATTTTCTTTAACCAGTTACTGCTGTATTACTTTGACAATACTTTTATGTCGTTATCCTTTTTCGGTGCGACGTTTATTGAATTTCATTGTACAGTCGCATGTCGTTTATTAATTCACTATTCTTTTTAATACCTGAAAATTACCTTTCCTAAGTATTCACAATATATAGTTAAAAAAGAAGTCGCTCATTAATAAATATACCTAATAAAAGCTTGTTTCTCTCTGGTCGTATATTTTCTTCAAGATATCTTTAATTAATTACCGTTATAATTGTAACAGAATCAAGCAGCTTCCTAGTAAATACATAAAGTTAACGAGTTTTTAATATCCATACCTGCATTCCGTTATTATTGATGGTATTATAAAGCGAGCTCCGAAAGCATGTACACAAAGCGGACAATTTTCGAACTATAGAGTGGCATTTAAATGGTATTCTATTCTTATTTTTTAATAAGTTTAATCAAATTACACGACG